GTCAGTGCCACCCTCCAGGTCAGTGCCACCCTTCAGGTCAGTGCTACCCTCCAGGTCAGTGCCACCCTCCAGGTCAGTGCCACCCTCCAGGTCAGTGCCACCTTCCAGGTCAGTGCCACCCTCCAGGTCAGTGCCACCCTCCAGGTCAGTGCCACCCTCCAGGTCAGTGCCACCCTCCAGGTCAGTGCCACCCTCCAGGTCAGTGCCACCCTCCAGGCTACAGTCACTGTCCACACCTTGCAGAGAAATGTCATCCTACAGGCTGTTCATTACCCATACCCCTGCAGGTCAGTGTCACTTCTGCAGGCACTGCCCACACCGTCAGGTAAGTCTCTGTTGTCACTTTCCTTCTTTCAATCACTGTCAAAGGAACCTCAGTACCAACACATTGGACCTCAAACTCACCGCCATCTCCCACCTCCCGAACTCAACCACTTGGGCTGGACAGTAGATCGACGGTCTCCCTTCATGCAGTTCGGCGTTTAATCTCCGACAGTCCAAGTGGTTGGGCACCACTACCTTCCCTCCGTCCCATCCCAAATCCTTATCCTGATTCCTTTCAAGTGCTACATAGTCGTAATAGCTTGGCGCTTTACCCTGATAATTCCCTCCCTCTCCCGCTTTCCCAAATGGTCGTCCAGAGCATGACTGAATTCAGTCAGACATCAACAACTTGAAATAAGCATTTTGTAATCTCCACCCATTGACGGGGCCTAACAGCTAGGTGGACAGGGCTTCGGATTCGTAGTTCTGAGGTTCCGGGTACGATCCCCGGTGGAGGCGGAAACAAATGGGCAGAGTTTCTTTCACACTGATGCGCCTATTCACTTAACAGTAAATTGGTACCTGTGAGTTTGACAGCTGCTACGGGCTGCTTTCTTGGGAATGTGTAACAAAAAGGAGGCCTAGTCGAGGACCGGGCTGCGGGGGACTCTAAGCCTGGAAATCCTCTCAAGATAGCTATTATAATTTGTCGACACTCAGTTGGGCCTTTAATGAATAGCCACTGAAACAATGGGGAGGTTACGTACTCCCATCATTATTATTTTTTTGTACAACTCATATTGGCTCTTTAACTGGAACAACATGAGGCGGTGACACCGTGGGTCCTGTCAACACTCCAAAAAATGGTCAGTGGTCTGTTGAAACACACACCACCACTGGGTTAAGGGCCCACTGCTTCAGAAGTAACACTGAAAATGTACAAGAGCTTTTAGCCTCACCCTAAGTGCGTTTCTGCATTCTTCCAACACTGTGTATATAGTTGCATTACTATAGTTCCTAAAACTTTCACTGTCAAACTTTTGTTTTTAACTGGAAGTGTTACATCCCCTCCCTGTATTTGTATCCTTTTATTTTTGTTATGGCTAGTAATCTCTCCTGAAAATATTATTTATGAGATGATATTTATCTTGATTACCACTGCTGCAATAATATCCTAAATTTTTTCCCAAACTCTCTTTTATTTCCTCTGCTTTATTTGTAACTCTTATAGTATTTGTAAACCATTTCTTAAGGCACTCACTGGACACGATATTACCTGTGTTCTCAGAAAATAGTTTTTAATTTGTTTCTACTAGTGTGAGATGTATATGAGAAGTTAGATTAAGTACTGGTTGTGATGATAAGTTGATGGTTAAAGATGAATTGATGCAAGTAGCGGGGGAGGGGGGGGGTGGCGCTGAATGGCTGTAGAGGGGTGATGGGCCGGAGGGGGTGGAGGGGGGTGGGGGGTTAGTGTTCAGAGAGTGAATCTCGAGGAGAGGTTGGCTGAGGGCCAAGTGAGGGTTATATGTAAGTGTGTGTGTATATACTGTTCCTATTTACTATGTGTGTGTGTGTGTACAGGATCCAGCTTGTGGCTCTGGATCCCGCCCTTCTAACCGTCGGTTGTCTTGTGTAACGTCTCACGACATAATTGTTCCTCATCGACTACTACATAATTTGTTATCTCACTTATACATACATCCCCAGGATGCAGCCAGTAGCAGCTGACTAACTCCAGGGTAAATATTTACAGCTAGGTGAGGAGGAGAATTAGGTGAAACACTCCTCTTATTTGTGTTTATTCTTGTGATATGCGTGTGTATATACGTGTATATGCGTGTGTACGTGTATATGCGTGTGTACGTGTATATGCGTGTGTACGTGTATATGCGTGTGTACGTGTATATGCGTGTGTACGTGTATATGCGTGTGTACGTGTATATGCGTGTGTACGTGTATATGCGTGTGTACGTGTATATGCGTGTGTACGTGTATATGCGTGTGTACGTGTATATGCGTGTGTACGTGTATATGCATGTGTACGTGTATATGTGTGTGTACGTGTATATGCGTGTGTACGTGTATATGCGTGTGTACGTGTATATGCGTGTGTACGTGTATATGCGTGTGTACGTGTATATGCGTGTGTGTATTTGCTATGAGCATTTACAATTAGTGCCATTAGGATCGAGGTGTTAGCTCTTGGACCCCGTCTTTCTAACTTCAAACCTATTTTTCCTCTATCACACACATTTCTTTCGCACGCACAAATACCCACGATGCAGCCCGAATGAGCTGTCTTATTTTCATGTACCTATTTACTGCTTGGAGAACAGGGGGCTTCAGGTGAAAGAAACTTTTCTCATCTGCTTCTTCCTCTACCGGGAATTGAACCCGGGCCCTTGGACTACGATCCCTTATCACTAACTGTGTGTGTACGTGTATGTGTGTGTGTGTACTCACCTAACTGTACTCATCTAATTGTGCTTACGGGGATTGAGGTCGGGCTCTTTGGTTCTGCCTCTCAACCGTCCATCAATTGATGTACAGATTTCTGAGCCTACTGTGCTCTGTCATATCTACATTTGAAACTGTGTTTGGAGTCAGCCTCCACCATATCACTTCCTAATGCATTCCCTTTACTAACTATTCTGACACTGAAAAAGTTCTTTCTAATATCTGTATGGCTCATTTGTGTACTCAGCTTCCACCTGTGTCCCCTTGTGCGTGTGCCACCTTTGTTAAATAACCCATTCTTGTCTACCTAAACAATTTTTTTACAAGAGACTAAAATACTACAACATCTAGTTTACGTTACGTTAATGTCCATCAAGTGGCACTATAACAACAGCTAAATAGCAACGACTCCGGTCCATTGCTGTGCGGCTGCATACTGAACTAACCTGAACACAGGAGTGCCCACTGACGATGCAATATTGCAAACAAATAATTCACAAGCCTAGTTTACACCACAGTGAGTGATTCGTTACGTTAATGTCTATCCAGTAGCACTTGCAACACAGCTATTCAGCAGCCCATCGAGAAATGACAGCAGTCTCCATCTTGCTGAAAATTCGGGCTTACTAAATGAACTAACTGAACAATGATGCCCACTGATGACGCTAGCTTGCAATCAATATTGTCACGGCTTCACGGTAAACAGATACTATAATCACAATCATACGGGTCCTCCAGCCCTCCAGGCGAGATACCCACGTAACTAGGCGGGTAGTCCCACACTGACTCCCCCTATCACAACAACCTAATGTGAACACTCCTTGCAACTCCCTGCAAGAAGTTGCATCTGTAAACAGTAAATAAAGCCAGACAAGGTGGGATTCTGAGACACTTCTCCAGTAATCCCCAAGTTACTTTACTCCCGTCACCAGGCGATAAACAAAATAAATTGCCTTAATCAATTACAAAATTGATTATGTGATTAATTACGTTAATTGACTGTCTACAACAGTCAGCAACAAAGTACTTTACGTTAATCATCAACACTTGTCTCACTTAACACAAGTCAACTTGTTAACAATAACTCAAAGTCTATTAAATTACATCACACTTGACTCCTTCAAGTATTCAGTGAGTAATTCCTAATTACTGTCAAACGGACAACTAATTAAATCCCAATCGAGTTACATTAACTAAGCCTACCACTATCTAGGTATCTTCTCAACAGTCTGTCAAACTTTACTTTAATGAGTGTTAATTACCCTAACTAATCCTGAGCAATTAATTAACTGTCACCAGGACCGATAATTAATCATACATAAATACGTCTCACTCCGCACTGCCTAAGCAGGTCTCATCAAACACTGTGAATTCACGGACGAGGTGTTAATTACCCTAATTAACATAAGTGCATCTTAATCCACTGTCACCAGACAGGATATGATTAATATAACGAGTTATGCTAGCTCCATGACCTCGCTAGCATAACCGATTCATCAAGACCTTTGACGTTAATTACTCCACTAATTAGCATCAGTCACTAATTGCTATACCCCTGAAAGGTAATTAGTCTCGAGCAAATTATGTTTACACAAATACTGTCAGACTGTGACAGTCCCTTCCCACTATGTGAATTCATGATGAGAATGCTAATTACACAATTAGCTAGAGTGGTCCTTAGTGGTCCTTAAGTCATTAAAACAACTTAAAGAAACACAAAGTAACCCCAGGTTACATAGGTCACACTTACAGTGGCATAACAAAATAAATGCACAGCCCACATACGATTGCAGCTTCTCTGCAGCATGGTAATTACTCTACCCCTCACAGTAATGACACGGTTTGGTAACAACAAGAGTATACCTACATTACTGTCCCACCCTCCCTCCATATCTTGCAACAGTTGCAAGGAACTACTGTGCGGAATCACTACTCTAGCAAAACAATTTACGTTAACATAAGGCACCGTCGCTACACTGGCAGCTGGCATTAATTTTCCTAATTAGGCAGATTAACCAATCTATTGATTGATCTCTCATTAAGTACTGTGAATTCCCCTGAATAATGAAAGGGACCTCGTTAAATCATCAACACAGCTCCTAGGGCAGTAATATAACGTATACCAAACAACAACACTGTTCAAACACACTAACATAATGATGAAGTTAGCATACCCCGCATGCTAATGACATTATCAGACAATCAGTCAGCAATCACAATTACTGACTTACTACACAACACCATAATAATATACATGCAAATGAAACATATGCATA